ATTGTAAACGTGATTCACATTCGAATCATAAAATTAAATTTACACGCTGAATTTTACTCCCTCGATATGTATATTCATGTTAATAAATGCGGCTTAACAGACATGAATCCTTGTGCTTTGTAGACAATTTGATTTGATATCGTAGCAGACTAAAACTAAATGAAATAATAATGGTTGTTAGTTGGTGGCTCAGAATGAAAAGCACTTTGCATAGGACCTTAAGCCGCATAGCACAAATAACATCGCCTTTGATTACAAGTCCATAATGAAATGTATAAAAACACATTAAGGGTATTCTTAATCTTGCAAAGCCCTTGCACGGTGCACGGTTTGCAAAGCTGTCCCATACGAAAACCGGTTTTTACCATGCAATCCATGTAATCTGTGAACCATGCAAGGGTTTTGCAAGACTCTGAGAATACCCCTATTAACACCTTATTAGTATTGCAAAATTGATCATTTACTTTATTAAACAGAGTTGAGTAGTTAACTTTTTACATTTCTATAAACATAGTTTAGCACATAAAACAATATTTATTGTTTACATAATCGTTTTAGTAGAGATTTAACTGCACAATTCTGACTTTCGAAACTAAGTGAACATGAAAACTATGATACCATATAAGCAATGTTATCTTATATCTAAATACATTTACACGAAGGAAACTTAAGCTAATTGATTGCTGCTATTATTGGAGAACTATATGTTTTTAGAACAGTAGCACCCATTTGCCGAAACGGCAAATACTTAACTACGCTTCCCTCAAGTTGTATCATTGCCAAGACCATTTTTCTGATCCAGCTTATTCGAATTTGATTTAACCATATATACGAAGTAGGTGATTATTTCCTTCTCTTTGATCGGTATCGTTTTGAAATGCTTCATGATTGTCTGGGAACATAAATATTAAATGAAATGGTTACATAATACCCAAAGCATATTATAGTTAATACGCAAATTTAGCTCATACTCACATCCGCCAGCTGTTGCCGTTTCATGCCGGGCCTTGTCTGCACCTTGTAGTGACGTTTGTAGCGCCTCAGCGTATTCACTTGCAATTGATAAAGATCAGGCACCATAGCATCAGGCATTTCGTTGTCTGTCTCGTTGCTATCTTCTTCGGAATCCTTGCGACGACGTTTGCTACGTGCGGATTGTATCTGGCACTTGTGATATTCACAGATGTAAATGCGTTCCGCGGTGGGATCATTACGCAGTTTCAGGCGTTTTTGTTGCACCGTTTTTTGTATGCGTTTGCTATATCTCGCATTGCCGGCGGGATTACGGCAGCGCTCATCGTCATCGATGAGGCAACATGTACTATGCCCGTCCCGAGAATCTTCCTCACCTGAACTAAAGCCACCGTTGTTCATGGTGACCGTGTAATCGTTTGCGCTTACAAAATTTAAATGAGCAATTTTAATTTTTTTTTTTCACAGATAGTTCGGATATTTTGATTACTGCTATGAAAACGTCTGGGTTTACACAATTTTGTGTTTGTTTAAAAATCAATGCAACAATTACGTCGCAACCAAACTTTCACACTTCACTACCTGATATGCAATACCAGTTTTCAATGCTTCGTACGCCGGAGGTCAAGTACTCATATTTAGTTTTCTATATGTATGTACGTAATTTTTTCGTTTTTATTCGATGTCTTTAATCCACGGAGTTTGGAAGTTCTTTGTTTTGGAAACTTTTTCAAGTTCATGTGTTTTAGTTTTACAAACACTTCTATAAATTTATATTTCGGAAAATTAATCTTAACACACGGACATTACAAATGCAAAAGAACGAAAATCGCAATTGATTGCAAATAGAAAATAGAAAAATAAGCAGAATGAACACAAAGAGTATGGCACAAAAACGTGTTGCCGAATGGTTGAAGTTATGGAATTAAAATCGTCGGTTTTCTAAAGTTGCTTGCACCCTACCAGTTGTTGAGCTAGGGGGCTTGTTCAAGTTGCAATCACTACCGCGGTGTTGCGCGAATTATTAAAGTATCGCGTTCTGTATGAATTTCTAGCAATCTATTATCAGTTGGGCAGTTGCAACAATAAGTAGATTATCCTCATTTTCGAGTTTAACAGGCTAACCTAATATTTGCTGCTTGCGTTTTGGTACGCACGCTGTCGAATTTGTTTTTTGCGTCACCCAAAATTGGCTGGCGTGCGTTTGCATTTGATTTCATTGAGCGAAACGTCAAGATGTGACGCAGCACAACAATTGGAAACTGAGTTGGCTTCATACGCACGTCGTTCAATTTCGGTTGGTCCCATACAAGTTGTGTGTATGTATGAAAAATTTTGGACAGCAAATTGGCGGCGTGCGTGAATATTAGGTTAGCATGTAACTCCCTAATCTTTAATTAGGAAAAGAGATTAGCCATACAAAAATTCGTCCATGTTAATGTGTATTTATAAAATAACAGATTTGTTTCTTAACAGATAGTTATCACTAATTCCTGCTGGAAAGCGTTTCTTAACCCAAAAAACTAGTCGCTCTTTCTCGTTCTTACGCTCTTATTTTTTTGGCTCTCCTGCTAATATCTGCTAGTAAAATTTTTACTAGAAGAAACTAGCCGCTGTCAAAATGGATAAACAAAAATTCGCACCAAATATTTTCAATAGTCAAATACATCGATCACCTGTTTACTTGCTAGTTTTGCGTTTCTTTACTATATCTTTACTTCGCTCTCTGTGAGCGTAATTCTCTGTTTTCCCATTATTTTTCTTCCTGATAATTATCTG